CTTATAAATATTTCCACAATATTTGCATCTTGCTTTCTTCACTTGAACTCCATTTTTTGTCTCGTAAAACTTATTGAAATGCACCAAACGTCTAATGTGTGTCTATCGCAGTTTGACAGTAGTTGTGAACCGCTTCAGCTTGAGATGAAGTTGGATGAGGACAACGATTACGAGGACGACTTCTAAACCATCGGGAGCTGTAGCAGCCTGGAGAGGAATCAAGGGAATATTATGAGTATATTAGATTCTGAGACTGGGAAAGCGGGACGATTTGAATCTGCATTTATGTTATAACTCAGGGGGACTAGGATAGTAGTTTCCTTCATTACAGAATTGACGGGATGGAAAATCTATCCATTGTAGTTAAAAAAAAAAATTTGATATAGAAAAAATAAAAAATTAAAGAAGGAGAATTGGAATTTGGAATATGAATTGAAAATTGCAAAAAAAAACTAATAAAAATAAAATAAGAGCAAATTGACAACAAGAGAATAATTGAGAGATTTCAATAGAGATTAGAGAAAATGAGAGAATTTGGCATGTGAGAAAATATGAGAGTTTATAGCCTATTTATAAAAAAATGGGAAATAAATGATGAAAAAGACCCTTCCAACTGCTTAAAACGGCTATATTTTAAGAGTAAAAGAGGTATTTGAAAAAAAAATTAATTTTGTATTTTTTTTTTTTTTCAGCCAACCTGCGGGTCAACCCAATGGGTTGGCGGGTTCTTTTAAAAAAAAAAAAAAAAAAAAGCAACCCGCCGGGTTGCCATATTACAACCCGGCCCGCCCGAGGGTTGCATGCGGGTCAGGTTCAACCGGCCTGCCTTATAGGCGGTCTAGGTTGAACCCTCTTTAATGCGGGCGGTTAGGGTTGACCCGCCTAACCCGACCCATTTGTTCCACCTCTAGGGCGGAATCTGACAATATGGGTGGATGGGGGTGTTTTTGTTAATTTTTAAACTTTTTCTGAGGGTGTTTAGTTAAATTAATAAACTTAAGGATTTAAAATAGTTGAAGAAAATTAAAATATTTTAAGGATAATGAAACTATTTTGATATGATTGAGAATAGATATGAAATATGGAAACAAAAGACCCATATTATTATAAATGAGGCACAACTGTGAGGTTTCCTGAACGCCCCTGAGATTAGGTGAGAAAAACTAAGAGACCACATGTTTCACTGTAGAACAACTTACACCCTTGTAATTGAATAATGTACGTGAAAAGTAACTATCATATGAGTAAAATGTACGACAAAATTTAAAAAAAAAAAAAAAACGTTTTTTATTTCCTAAATGTCTTATTGAATTGTTAAAGTTTAATACTTTTTTATCATAAATAAATATATATAATAATTTGATCATATGACAAATTTCAAATATTAGCTTTTTTTTTGTTGTAAAAGAAAAGATAAAATAAGTTATTAGTTACTATAACAAGATCTTATGTCCCACCTAACTTTTCACAAAATGTTTGTTAATTTAGAATAATGATATGTACAAACAAGTCTTACAAAGATTTGTGTATAAACTGATGTGACATAAAATAAATAAAGAGTGAATATGATAAGTTTGACTTATATTCACTCATCTATTTATTTTATTCACATCAATTTGTACACAAATCTTTGTAGATTTGTTGTACATCTAAATTATTGTAATTATAAAGGCTAGTGTTTCATTATGAAATCGGTGGGTCTTTAGTTCCTCTCACTAAACCTTAGGGGTGGTAGTTGAAAAAGCTCGCGGAACTGTGGTGGTATCATGGTTATAGAACCCTAGAAGCATATAAAAACTAAAAATAAAAGCAGCAAGTAGCCATTTATTAAAGAGGCGTGAAGAAGACAACAAAGAGTTTGAATTCTATATAGCCTTCTAAGAGAACAACCTCAGTTTTCAGTGTACTATAAGCCTAAAAATATGTGTCAATGACACGTGAAAAGGTAAAACACAATCACAAGTCGCCCTTTTTTTATATTCTTATAGCTGGAATGGGTTTGGCGTAGTACAAATCAAATGTTTGTAATTAATATTTGAAGATCTTTGTTAACTTACAACTAGCTTTTCTATTGTCGAAAGTTTGCAAAATTTCAAATATGATCGTAAACTTTTAATGTCTAGTTCTTTATGAATTGATCTGAATACATATACAGTATATGCAAAAAATATGAGAGCTCAGGTAATTTATAAAACTGGGTTGTATGGAAAATTTGGAAAACCAATTGATTTGATTTTGAGCTTGGACTGAGATAATTTATATATAGATTATTATTGCCTTAAGTACTCTAATTATTGATTAATGAAGAAGTAATAGTTTGTTTTGGGATTGTTGATGTTATGGGGAGGAGGGTAAAACTTGTGCAACCCTAGGAATAACATTCTTCTAGGAGCGAGCTCATTTCCCTCTAGTTTTTTTTTTCTTAAGATCAATCAAATAATGCACATAAATCTATACCACAAGTTACAAGTTACATGTAAAGTTTGTTGCCAGTGGATTGGTTTTCACAGTGACAGCTTGCTCAATTTACATTATCTATGTTTTGTGATCAAAGTTAACTAATTATAAATTGAAAGAAAAAAAAAAAGTGTTCAAATCAAGCTATATATATATATGTCAATGGCGAATTACATAATTCCATCTGTGTATGCATGCTTCGAAGCTTTTTTAACTTCAGGATTTTGCTATTCGTTTTGAGGTTGAACATATAATTGATTTTACCAACTTCCTAGCAACAAAGATACATTCAAACTAACTTATCATTTATACCTTCTAATTGAGAAAATTGAACTTAACCTGAAATCATATTAATATAAAGAAGATAATTATGCGATGATTATGATTGAATATCAATTTTAAAATGTTTCTATATGTGTAATTATATATTATTAGAGATCAAAAGATGACACGTTATGCTTGTATGATTGGTTGAGACTTTTGCAAAATGTAATACTGTGGACTCATGATACAAAAAAAAAATAAAAAAAAAAAAAAAAAAAAAAAAAAAAAAAAAAAAAAAAAAAAAAAAAAAAAAAGAGAAGAAGGACCGTGTGGTAACTCACAATTGAAGCCGAAAATCTTGTAAATACACCAACCAAAAAGATATTTTGGAAGTTTGACGAACGAATTACATTCCCTCCCTCACCGTCGGTAAGCCAATAATAATAGACAGGGTGTAGCCTATAGGTGAAAAGCAGGGTTTTGGGTAGATTGAGGGAAGTGCAAAAAGTGAAATCTAGAAAGTTTGACTTGAGAATCACGCAAACAAACATGGTGTGCACGAGAGTTGAAGAGCCTCGAGAAAGGGAAAAATCTCAACTATCCTCTGAAGTTGTGTTGGCGTGTGAATTCTCGGTCGAATAACAACACAAGTATCGAGTAAACTGTAAAACACTTGTAAAAGTCTTAGCTTAACTTAACCCAATACAACACGCTACCCCCTCGTTTCCTGCCCTAACACACGCTTGCGACTGCCACCACCACCAGCTGCTCTTTGTAATGTGGGCCTAGGATCCGACTTTCATGGGCACAAACACAACTCATCAATATGCTTCATTTTGGGATCCCCATTCCCAACACTTCACTTCAAATCTATCATAATCGTTTAATTTGTTTTAGGGTTTTGAGTGTTTCTAAGCTGGATGATCATTTAGTCTTGGACTCTTGGTTCTTATGAATGTTGATGATTTACTTAATGTTGATTCCTAGTATTAGAATTAAAGTCTCGTATTCAATCCAACAGAATGGGGTGTTTGTATCTGTGAAATATACAATCATGCATGCTCATTATTATATTTGTTTAGGTAAAAGTTTAGATTGATATATTATCCTGATCCAACAAATGCCATTACAAAAATTTTGGTATACTCCACTTGGTCATCATGTTTTAATTTGCAGCTCCAGAAAGTTTTAGGAGGTGATAATAATTTGTTTGTAATTTATCCCACTACTTGCTGCTTCTTATTTTATTTGTTGACCTAGATACCTTGTAGATAAATCATTACTAAAACTCAGTTTTGATTACCCGATTGTTCAAACTTAAGTGAGTACAGTTATACATAGTGAAAAACTTATGATATATTTCAATATTTCATTGAGCTTGAATATGTATTTCAATATTTCATTGATCTTATTCAAGCTTGGTACATATGAACGAACTTCAGTTGATCCCGGCTGGTATATATAATAAGTTTAAATTTAAGTCTTATATTGCATATCAAATCGATATGAAAACAGTAACTATGCATGATACTGACCCGTTGAATGGCCTAAACTCAAAATAAAAAAGAGTCAATACAAGTTGACTAATTAAAAAACACTTGAGAGAATTTGTTTAGGCTATCTGATATCTCAGCAAGCCACTCAGCTTCGTGAAAACTGAAAATCCATATGGTTTCGTAAAATAATGATATTTAAAAGATATAATTCATATTCTTTACGGAAATTCGATATCTCAACTGTCATATTGTTTGTGACATTACTCAATTATTCATGTAGATATCTTCAATCAGTTTAACATGTTACTATAAGAATATAAAATTTAGGAGCAAGTATGAAGTATCACTTCTGTAAAGTAAATACAATTAATTAATAACATAAACTTAATTAAGAAATGATTAAAAGTTCCATCACACTTTAGAATTTGATGTGATTACGATAATGATATTATTGTTGGAGAACAGATATTACGTCACTCTGGCTGAACATTATGTTTGACCGGCATAAATCTCTCTCTACTGCGTAGAAATAAATTAAATAACGTATAAAATACACTTTGCACACGTAGATATGTATTCTATTATACGCAAACTTGGCCCTAAATTTTTTATCATAAGATCTTTTTACTTTTCATCGATCAAATCCCTTCTTCTTCATGCATGCACATATATTTAAACTAAACTCACCGTCCCTCTTTCTAACCACAATACAAATTTATCTTTTTCTCTAATTCTCTCTTGAGCTTGAACTTGAGTACTCAGTGAGTGTGTGTGTTGAGTGTTATGGATTTTACTTCAATTAATTCTGTTGATACTAATTGGTGGGTGTTTACACTCCCAGCAATTGTTGAAACTCAGAATTTGTTTAATTCTTGGCTTTTGATTTCAGTTTTTATTGCATTCCTGTGTGTTGGTCTCTTGACATGGGCTGTATCCACTGGAGGTTTGGCCTGGAAAAATGGGAGAAACCAAATGGGTTTAGTTCCCATTTTGGGACCCCGGGGTCTCCCTTTGTTCGGCTGTTTGTTCAGTTTGAGCTGCGGCTTGGCTCACCGTACTCTCGCCTCCATGGCCTCTAGCTTTCGTGCTAAACAACTCATGGCTCTGAGCCTGGGTTCAACCCCTGTTGTTGTCACTTCTGATCCAATTATCGCCCGTGAAATCTTAACCTCTCCTCACTTCTCCAACCGTCCGATCAAACACTCGGCGAAAAGCCTCATGTTCAGTCGCGCCATCGGGTTTGCGCCGAATGGTTCCTACTGGAGGCTCCTTAGGAGAATTGCTTCTTCTCACTTGTTTGCGCCCAAGCGCATTGCGGCGCACGAATCCGGGCGCCAGATGGACTGTGTTGCCATGCTGCACGCCATAGCTGAAGAACAATCTCTTAATGGAGTTGTTTATTTGCGCAAACATTTACAAGCCGCGGCTCTGAACAACATAACGGGCACGGTGTTTGGTAAACGATACGATACGGAGCGTCTCCGTGACGAGGCCAAAGAGTTGCATGAGATTGTTAGAGAAGGGTTTGAGATCTTGGGTGCTTTTAACTGGTCTGATTATTTGCCATGGCTGAAATGCTTTTATGATCCTTTTCGTATCAATGAACGTTGCTCGGTTCTTGTTCCTCGTATAAGAAAACTGGTGAAACAAATCATTAGAGAGCACCAACTCAAAGACGAAAAAGAGCTCCTTGATGATTCTGCTTTTGTTGATGTTTTACTCTCTTTGAATGGCGACGAGAAGCTGAATGAGGATGATATTATTGCTGTGTTATGGGTTGGTATCTTGATATTTTTAATATTTGAATTGATATTTTTAATATGTTTGATATAATATTTAAAACCTATTATAAAAACTCTGAAAACAATTTTTAATTATTTTTTTTGTTTTACATTAGTTCTTAGATTGTATCCAAACACTATTTAAAAAAAACGTTTCTACTCATTTATACTAATGCAACTTCATAAGATTCATTGTATCTTTTACTTTCAATAACAAAAACCTATATTTAAATTCTTTATCTTTTCTTTCTTTGAGCAGGAAATGATTTTTCGTGGCACTGATACAACAGCAATTTTAACTGAGTGGGTCATGGCCGAGTTGATTTTGAACCCTGATGTACAAGTTAAAGTTCATCAAGAGCTTGACCTTATTGTAGGAAATAAGATTGATCTCACAGATGTTGACGTGGCGAAATTAAAATACCTTCAGGCTGTGATCAAGGAAACCCTACGAATCCACCCACCGGGGCCTCTCCTCTCTTGGGCCCGGCTTTCCACGTCGGATGTCCATCTCAGCAATGGCATGGTGGTCCCCGCTAATACGACTGCCATGGTCAACATGTGGGCCATAACCCATGATCCAACTGTGTGGGAAGAGCCATTGGCGTTCAAGCCAGAGAGGTATTTGAAGAGTCAAGGTGGTGCTGACGTGGACGTGAGAGGTGTTGACCTGAGGCTTGCACCGTTTGGGGCTGGCCGTAGGGTTTGTCCAGGGAAGAACCTGGGGCTTGTCACGGTCAGCCTTTGGGTGGCGAAGTTGTTGCACCGATTTGAATGGGTTCAAGACATATCTAACCCAGTTGACCTGAGTGAGGTGCTCAATCTGTCCTGTGAAATGAAGAACCCTCTCCGTGCTGTTGCGGTTCCAAGAAATGCATGATCGTGTTCAACTCTTTAAGGGTTGGGGTTTTGGCAAAAGAACGAACTTATCAAATATGGTAATGTTATGGCTTTGTTTTATAAATATAGGTATATGTTTGGTAAAAAATAAAGTTGAATGACTTAATGATAACTTTAGTCCAGTTCAACATGTTTATGAAATATAAGACTGTTGTTGTTGTATTGTTAATTTGTGCTGTGAATTTTAGCTATAGGGATGTTTTGGAGCTAAGCCCTTTGAAAATTAATGTTGGTGTTGCTAAAGTGTACGTGAAAATTCTGTAATATGTATTTTAAATGTAATATTATATAAGGTGTGTTTTTGTTTGAACTATGAATAAAACATGTACGTTTTTAGTTTAGTTGACTGTTGTCTTACGTTGTACCAAAATCTTACATTCGGGGAGCCTCAAAGAAACTATAAAATTCTGAGTTCAAATCTCACGTTCTAGACTTAAACATCAATGTTAATAACTTAAGCTTTGAGGTCAAGATTTTCAAGTGGTAATATCCCCTAATTGGCTATAACATTACCTAAGTGAATAATCCATGAGATTAGTTTCAATTCATTCCGGATCATTGAACTTTTTTGTATTTAAGTTAAATGTCCATGTTAGATTAAGTGATATACTCTTTTCAAATGAAATCCCAAATGATGTGTGCTTCATGTGCATTAACATATCATTTAAAACCTGAACCCTTTATTTACATATCAAAGCCACACAAGGAAACACATCACTTGGGATGAGAAATTTGTGAAATCATTTGGGAAGAGTAGTAATTATATCCATATTGGATTGAGTTTTACCTCATAATTCAAGCTTTTAATTTTTAAGAAAAAGCGTTAAAACTCAAGAACAATATTTTAAACAGAAAATCCAATCAAATTACCCAATTGGGCAAAACTTCTCTATTATTTCTTCCTCGATTGGCTAACTGACAATATATGTTCAATTATTATTGATATGGTGAACAAGCTAAATTTGTATGTCATATGTATCATAGTCGGGTGCTTTTAAGATATATTATTACCAGATTTTTCAAATTTACCAAAAAAATAAAAAAAAAATCTATACATATTTTTAATTGATTTTTGATTGCTAAGGACATAATTCATTTTTTATTGTTTTGTGAAAAAGATATCACCTATTTGTATACTCTTTTGAATTCCATGCGGTCCAAACTTCCAACGTCCTACTTTAGGATGTGGTCTTATTAAATCTGTTGGTTTTCATAAATCTGTGTATAATTTAAATACGAAAACGCACTGTTCACGTTGCATTGACAAAAGTTTTGGATGTCTAATTAAGAAAGCTAACAAAATGAGGGAGTACGTTACTAGATTTTCTAATTTCATGGGATGAATATATAAGTTTTTTGAAAAAAAAATTAATTAATATATTCACTATCTCGTACCTTTCATGGATGATGTCAAAATATTTTTTTTTTTATTAAAAAATAATTAATAAGTTGAAGTTCTACCTAAAATTTGAGCATATCAACATTGATCGACCTCAGGCACCAACCAAATTAATGTATTCTAATTTAAATGCAAGCTGTTTAAAAGGGTACGTTAGACTGTTTGATTAAATCCTTCCTGGGATCAAAGAGATAATCTTTAATAATTAATTTAACTTAGTTTGCACGTAATTAATCAACACAGACGTGAATTGCTCAAATGTGAAATTTTCATAACGAATTATGTTCTACCACGTAAATATTTATATAAACGATTGAGTTTCATGTCGGTTTAGTAATCCATTGAATCGACAAGATGGGCTGGCCTTTTCTCCATTCTTCTAAACTCAAGAATACCCACCAACCAAAGAAAATATAAACAATTAATAAGAAAAAAATATTTTATTATTGTGTGTGGGATAAAAGAAGGGCCTTGACCATCATTTCGACCGTCGTTGTGTTATTGGTTTCGCTTAGGTCGGCTATCATAGTTCCCCACATGCATAAACCCATGATTTTCTGACAGCATCTATAAGGTCTGTAAACCGTGTGGTATCAGAGCTAGTATTTATTAGACCGCTTATAGATTCCATCTCTGCGTGTGCGGAGGATTACCTCCCCTCGATATTGGCTCCTTTAAGTTTTGGTTATGTTTTATTTCACTGTTATTAAGTTATGTTTATATGTAATATTTGGGTCTTGCACTATCCTTATCATTTGAGGTGTATTCACATCCAAGAGGTTGAACTTACGCACATGGACTCCTCTTCAGCTTTATCTACGTTTACTGCTCCCATAAATACTAGCTTATCTAGATCTTCTTCTAAGATAGACAGTTTGTATGAAATATCTTATATCCCAGAAAATAAAAAACCAAGACACTATCCCTCCTATTGTAAATCCTTATACAGCCTTTTCCAAGTCCTCGTCTCTCTGTCTAAAACCTTTAAAACTCTTGTCTGTCCTTCCGAAAGCCATAAGAGTATGTCCAGACTAGTACTTTTGACAAGTGTCAATTCCAGCCACATCCAAGAACAATATGTTCTTTGGAAATCCCTCAATCGATTACTCAATGGATCCGTGAAGGATACTCTCATGTGCACTTTGGTGATATCCGGCTCGCCCTATCTTATCATGTAGAAAAGGACTCCCAGTCTCTTGTTCGAATTGCTTTATTGGACACCAGATTTGTCCAATATCAACATGCTTGTATAGGGACAGCACAGAACAACTTTGAATGCTGGGACAGTCATTATGACACTGTTTCCTAATTTCAACATGTCCCTCTCTGATGTTCATTGCTCTAAGGCTCTTAAAGTTCAATTACAGATCGTTGGTGCAGATTTAAATCCAGGAAGTATTGCAGCTACTTTGCATTATCAAATGGTGTGGCGAATCCAAGACCATGCTCTTGATCTCGCTATCCCTACGACTACTGATGCACTGCTCCTTACTGTTGACTTTCAAATACTCCTCACTGCATCAATATTCCAGGCAAATTTCCAGAGATGATGTGATTAAATTGTTACCGACTCTTGGGTGACGAGTTACGAGTCTCTTCACAAAAAAGATACTCCGGTGGTTTCTACAGAATCTACTATGCATGATAACAGTGACGGACAACAACTATCAGGTTTAAGTCTCCAGCAACTCCCAGTGCTCCACCTTTGAGTTTTAGACAAACTTAATTCATGATTACTCGGTCATGCCCACTATGCAGTATGATTTGGTGCTCCTGACTTTTCATTCTTCTTTTCAACGATTTGGTGCTCCTGTCTATCATCATATGATCCAGTCACTGGTCACACTCCATTTGATCTTGACTGCCATATGCTCGAAATGTCGTGATTCCTATTTGGGAGATCGATGAGCATTATCTTCCAAGACGAACCTTCCAACCAGAAAAAGAAGAAAGCTCGCTGCAGTTAGACAGATCTTCATTCCCGATTTGAAGAACGTGATCCTGAAGTTGGTCTTCTTGGTCAACCGTCTGGTAATTTGACTATTATGTCAAATATTCTCCACCAGCCAGAAAAGATTCACCATCTAGTAATCCCTCATGGGACATCCCTCCGAAACCTAACCCAAATCACCTTTCAAACTATCCAAACCTGCCAAATCCCCTCTTCAAACCCTTTACCATGTTATCAACAGTCTCTGCGGTGGATTGCCAAAGAAAATAAACCAACCCATTCACCCCTTGCTCATACTCCACCTGTTCAGTCCGTCATGATGATCCAATCCCCTGAGCCCACAAAGACAGGACAACATTTCAATTATGACACAGATTTTCCTTCCCTTCAAGAAACTGCTACTCAACAACCAAAGTGGTTCCTTCCAAAGTTATACACCTGATGGATCCACACCTAAACTCTCCCAAGCTGAAGCAGTTCTCAATGGCAGACTGAAATGCTTTAGCCCAAACAAAACCATGACCACTTGAACAAAAACTGGATTTAGTAGCTCATCAGGTGGACTCTCAGTCTCAGAACCAAACTATGCTGATTTCTCGGCTACGAAAGCAAATTGATCATCTCCAAAACAGATTGATCGCTCTATCAGGAATTAATGCACATTGTCAACAGCTCCTATGGCTATTCAGCTCAGTTTCTTCAGAAGGAAGCAGAAATGAAGTCATAAAAACCAAATGGCATCGCTTCAGGAATATCTTAAGCAAAAACTCAGACAACCACAGACTTTCCTTGAAATGTCATTGGTACCAAACCCTTTTGATTCATAACAGCATGGCCACAACCCTCTTTTTCCCCTTTCCCAAAATTAGCCAACCGTTGGTCTCACCTCTATACCTTCTGGTGCTGTTCAAGCTTTTGGCAACACTGAACAGTTTATGCCAAGCTCCGTAAAGAACGTGATGAAAGATCAAGCTGGAACAGACCAAAGAAGCGAGAAAAGTATTCTGCTAGACCGCAGACTCCATCCGCTGATATTCTGACTCTTTCTCTTCCAGTCACTCAGATCCTCCATCTCCTAAGCCTCATCGTCCTTTATCTAAGGATAGGCTCCAATGCATATAATGATGATGGAAGACCGCCAACCTTCTGCTAATCCTGACTCTTCACAAAATCCCGTCTCTTCCAATTTTATGAGCTCTTTTTTGCGAGACATGGTAGAAAGGCAATGTCTTGCCGCCTCGGTCTTTCTCAGGATTCTCTATCTACCTTCCAAATAGAATTAGAAGCCGATACCCCTTCGACTGATGAATCCTTTGAAAGTGACTTTGACTCTGACATGATACTTCTGATCAACATCCTTATGTTTATCCCCAACTGATGACCCTCAACCTGAATCGTCCAGACCACCTGTTGTTTCTGAGTCGATGATAGATGCCTGAAGGTGATGATTCCATTCCAGACTCTCCGCCTATGTATCGACAATCTCGTCACACTCTCGTTGAACGTGACTCTTATACACCGCCAGCAAGCTCCATACTTTTACCGTCGATGATCTTCCTCCATACAAAGGGAAACTCAAATGTATGAATTTCAGGCCTGGTTACAAGCTGAGATGCTGAAACCTAATGCC